CATGCAGCAGCTTGCAAGAGTCATTCACTTTAACTGTCAAATGTCTCTGTCATTCTTCACTTTCTTTCCACTCCCATTACAGATTGTCAGCTCCAATGTGTCCTAGCCCAGGGGCAGCCTGATAGTGCCTCAGCCAGGACACGGCTCAGTGAGCATGGGGAGCCCCAAGTAACATTAAGTGCTAAGTCACTACTGTAAAGAACTCGGGTAGCACTAAGAGACCAAAGTGTCTGTGTGTCCCTGCTTAGAGTAGTTTCTCTTGAGGTGCTTCTGGTGCTATCCTACAATATTCACCCTTTAGTATGCCAGTTTGTCAGTGTGGGGACTGTGGCTGTAACTTTGTCCCCATCACTGCTCGGGTCTCTGTTCCCTTCATAAGCCAGTGACCTTCTTTGTAGGTTGGAGACTGGTTCTGCAAGAAGAGTTTATTAGATGGGCAAAAAGTCACGGTCCCACAATTAAGAAAGAGGACAACTTTGGCCAAAAGCCCACCCTGGTTCAGAGGTGAAGCAAAGACAGTAATTAGAAATAAAAAAGCAATATATAACAAATGGAGACAGAGAGAAGAGATGGCAATTTATATGAAGCAGAAGTTGTGAAGTGCTGAAAATCAATAATGTAAGTGAAGGACATCAGGGAAAAATCCATAGCAGGCAGGGCGAAGGACAATAAGGAGGAGTTTCTTAAATACATTATGAACAAAAGAAAATCTAGAAGTTGTAGAAGGAAAGCCACCTACTTCTCAGGAGCAAATCCCAGGGTTGTCCAGGCAGCTCCGAAGACAGAAAGAAGTCTACACTACTGATTTTGGTAAGAATAGCAGCCTTACCAGGCCACAACATTGTGCTAAACTTAGCTCTGCAGAGAGACCAAGCTAATTAGCCCAGGCATGATGCTGTACAAACACAGTCCCATATCTCTCCCCCAAGCCAAAGCAGCATAACTATGTTGACATGGTGGCAGGCAGCAGTTTTCTGTGTCCCTTCAGCAGATGTAGCAGGATGCTGTGTGACCCCCATGGGAATGGGTGAGGGAGGAGAGACTGGCAACTAGCATGGACCCAGTTTTTCAAAGTCACAACAGAAGTCCTGTTTCTGGGAGGTTCTGGGGACACTCAACTAGTCCCTGGGAGTACATACCTATTACTATATGGAGATGGTAACATCAGTAACAAGGCACAAGTTCACTAGCTGCTTGTCTATATTTGGAAGTGATGATAGACTTATTTGTACCACATGAGGATGGTGAAGTACTTTCCAGTCCATTATCATCTGAGGCTGATGATGGACAACATCTCCTACAGATAACCATATTAATATCAGTTGTCAGCTAACTTGCCCCAAGAGTTCTAAAAGAACTGGCCAAGAGATTTTACCTACTGATGTTAATTTTTAATGAAGTTTTTAAATGCCAGGGAACTGTCTTAAGACTGGAAAAGTGTGAATATGCCAGGTTTCACAAAAAGGGGTAGATAATTGACAGGCCAGCCTGATAGCAAGCCTGGGCAAAATAATGGAAAAGCTGATTCAGGCTTTTATTAAGAATTAGATGTTGGAAATATAATTAATGTCAATCATCATGGTTTTTAGGTGCTACAGGTGTTGTCTTGCCAAACAAAGTTAATTTCATTCTTTGATGAGATTATAAAACCAGTGGATAAAGATAACTGGAACAGTGCAATAGACTTCAGCTTTTGTAAGCTGTTTGATTTAGTCCTACATGCCATTCTGATTTTAAAAAATTAGCACCAGGGGCTATCAATAGAGTGGACATGCATTGATTTAAATTGGCTAACTGACAGCTCTCAAAGCAGCTGTCAATGGAAACGTCACTGACTGGGGGTGTGCTATAGGGGTTCTGCAGAGATCAGTAGTAGACCTGACATAGGTCAACATTTTTCAATGATTGGGAAGTAAATTTTTTTAAAAAATCACTACAAATAAGATATATGGCTGAGACGCAGTGGGAGAGTGGTGACTAATGGTGAGGGCATGGCAGGGCCATGACAGAATCTGATCTGGATCACTTGGTAAGCTAGACCTATTAACATGCATTGTAATGTTGAATCCATGCAACAGCTTACAAATGAAGGAGCAGAGAATCCTGGAAGGGAGAGAGGGGCCAAAACAGATGAGCCGTTCAACAGAAATTCAGGTAAATTCCTATTAGTAAGGGCTCCTATACCTATTTTTGAGAGGGTAATTAACTAGTGGAATAAATTAGCAAGGGCAGGGAGGTGCTGTTCATCTCCTTCCGTCTTCAGGTCTTGATACCTTTTTGGCCTGACAAGTTACTGTACTTAACCTGGAGCCCTGAGGTTTCAGAACCCACTTTGCCCAGGGGGTGTGAACCTGCATTTCTCTGACTTTCTAGCACAGTGCTTTAGACACCAGGACACAGATCAAGTATTGTCCAGCTAACTCTCCAGTGCTTCTTTCAAAACTGGCTTTCTGGGCAACCAAAAAAAGGAGATATGTGGGGCCAGGAGGCAGAAAGACAAGCCAGAGAGTGTGTAGCTCCTTGCGATGGATATTAACTGGCGGAGAACAGGTCTAGGGTTCTAGCTTGAGCCCTTATTCCTAACAGGGCAGAAGCTTCTTCATTTTTTCTTGTTCATTTTATCTAATAACTATTAAATGCGAAGAGCAGTGGATCAGCTTCAAAAGGAGCTCTTAAGAATGGTCTGGACAGTACCCCGTCTGTGACATGATGGTTGGCACCCTGGGCTGGAAAGTCATAGGTACCATTTCAAATTTCATCTGGCTGACAAAGGACCTTGAATGAAGACTTCCAGTTTCTGGAACAAGTGCCCTAACCTCTTTGCTATCAAACTGAACAGGGGAGGATCTTCACCTGGCAGGGCTTTTCCCATAACTTAGGCACACACATTTCCACATCCACACTGTAAGGGGAATAGAACTGCTACATAGTACAGCTACAGAACTGCCACTCAGGTGCCCAAATGGGACAGAAGTCTGTCCCTAGTGGTCCTTTGTGGTCTTAAACTCTATGAAACTAGGCTGAGGCAGGAAGCTCTTCACCTTGCAGTCTTCATCTCCAGTTCTGACTTTTCCTGGTTGGATTGCTTTGTAAGGCGAGACCTTCTTAGCTACATGTTCAGTACCAATATAGCTCCCCAGATCCCTTTTATTTGGGACAAACTCTCACAGAAGCATCCCAGGTATTCTTCTAGCTCTAAATAGTGCTGCTATCTTTTAAATTAATATTTTAACTAATATGGAGTACTGCGTCCAGTTCTGGGCACTGCACTTTAAGAAGGATGTGGCCTGCCTTGAGAGGGTTCAGAGGAGGGCCATCTGCTTGGTTGGAGGGCAACAGGGCAGGCCCTGTGAGGAGAGGCTGAGAAACCTGAACCTGTTCAGCCTCCGCTTGCTGAGGGGGGATTTGGTGGCTGCCTACAAACTCATTAGGGGAGATCAGCAGCAAATAGGAAGGGCCCTATTCTCCCCAGCAGCACCTGGGGTGATGAGGAACAATGGCCAGAAGCTGCTGGAGAATAGGTTCAGGTTAGAGATTAGGAGGCACTGTTTCACTGTTAGGATGGCTAGGATCTGGAAACAACTTCCTAGAGAAGTGGTCCTCACTCCTACCTTGGGTAAATTCAAAAAGAGGTTGGATGAACACCTGTCTGGGGTCATGTGATCCCAGCGTGTGCTCCTGCCAGTGGTGGGGGGTCAAACTAGATGATCTGTTCAGGTCCCTTCTGACCCCAAACTACCATGAAACTATGAACTGGCACTGGTGAAAGGTGCTAGCTTGGGAGATGCTGGTTTGAACAGGGGCAGGGTGGGGCAGGCTCTCTCTTCCTCATCTTTGCCAGTGCCACATATGCCTTGTCTTGAAGACGTCTCCAGCTCCCTTTTTGCACTTAAAGAGTTCCATTTCTGAGACCCATTCAGGCATCTATTGTGGCGATGGCTTTGGTGCTGTGAGCTTGTGCCTACTGGGAAGGAGATCAAGACCCTCTCCATTTCACACTGGCCAGGGAACAGCTGCCAAATGATAATGGGTCACTCTCTACTAGAAATGGGACTGAACTTCAGCCCCCTACACCTTTTGTGAGGTTTAAAACCTGGTGGTGTCTCAGTTTGACTTTACCAGTCATCACGCCCCCAAGCCAGATTCACACTAGGCCTTAGAGTAGACTCAGAAAGCTATCAGCATTCCTCAAGCTCCAGAGGCAACCTGTCCCATTGACCTGAGACTGGCTGGAACCAGCACACTATTAGGGAAAACTGCCCTAGACCATTCTTCAGTCTCCAAAAGGCAGCTGACTCCCCCTAACCCAGGGCCTGAATGGAGGTGGGAGTCAGCATCTGAGCAGTCTCCTCTTTCCTATCTCAACTCCACCACTCCCAGACACTCCACCCTCTTTATCCCAGGCCCTGTTCTGAGGGGTAGTGGGGTATGGAACTCATTTCCAGACCCAAAAGTCAGCCGGGCCCTTACTTTTACAGGGCACTGAATTCCCTGTAGCAAACAGCAAGGGAGAACTGATGCATAACAGATCTGTTTGTGCTAGCCAACTCATCGCCTCCAGTCCCACTGCCTTGTTCCCAGAGGTGCATCTGCCCCACAGCCCCAGCACTGCTGGGACTTTATTCCAAGCTTGCTTCACTTGCACATGCCAAACCTGGAAACATGGCAAAGCCCCACTTTTTCAGGGACATGCCCACAGCTACTCTCAGATGCATCAGATACAGGGAGATCAAGGATGACTGTAGGGGTAACCCTGGAGTGACTTCACTACCACATTGCTGGATCTGGTGCATGAGAGAGCAGAAGCAGGTGGATGAGGGATAAAGCTCTCCCTGGACGTACTGGGGGTATATGTAGTGTAGATGTACCCAGACTCCCCAAAGACATCCTAGCATCATGACTTACTCAGCACTGGCAAGTGCCAAACACTTCTGGGCCTTGGTGGCCTCTCCAGCCATGACTTTACCTGAGTTGGCAAGGGCCAGGGCCTTGAGTGTGACAAACTCCTCCTTCTCCACCTTGAGTTTCTTGTACCGGCGCACCAGCTGCAGGATGGCCAGGTACAGCTCTAGCAGCCCTGTCAAGCGGGAGTGCTCCTCATCCATGATGTAATCCTCAGCGTAGACCAGCTTGTCCTCGTAGGGCAGTGAGCGATACACAATGCCCAGGATGAGGATCTCCATCCAGGCGCTCTGCAGCAGGCTCATCTGGTCCCCCAGGGAGAGATTAGAGAAACCTGGCAGGGAAATCACAAGCTGGGTTAGACTGGGAAGGGCTGTAAAGGCTCTCTGCCACCTGAGACCCAACCACTCATCCCCCTTCTCCACTGTCACAACATCCGATACTGATAGCACTTGCCACTTTTCTGCTTCCAGCCTGGGATTTGCTTTCCTCTTGCCTCTGCTCCCTGGCAGCCCAATGCTCATGCACCACCAGTAGCACATGCACCCCACTCCTTGCTCCCTGTCCTCCCACAGCACTGCCTGCTGGTGCATTTCCCCCTGCTCTTCCTGCAGTGTTATCTATACTGCAGACAATTTGCTCCCCACCTCAGCCAGCAGCATGACTACTACCCTTGCCCAGCCTGGTAAAATGATGGAGGGGAGAGAGTGGGAGCAGGGTATCATGGGGCTCCCACTGGAGCAGAAGGAGGAGTTGTGGTCTGCAGTCCAAGCTCACTGTGCTCTAAATGCCACCTCAGGGATGCTGGTTGTGGGGCAAATACATCTTCCAGCCAGAGGAGCTGACTTAAATCCAGCTGAAAACATGATTTACAGCTATGCATTCTCACCTGGTGGGCTCAACATCCCCACCCTTCAAATACACACACCCCACCCCCCCATCAGGCCATGATCTGCAGGCTGCTGCAGCCCCTAAAATACAAACAGGCATGGCAGTAAGGCCAGAGAACTACTGTAGGAGGAGAGAGCTTCTAGAAATGGAGACAGACACTCCTTTAGTACAGAAGCAGCAGTGGAAGCTGGGAAGCCCAAACCACCATTGCATCAAAAGAAGGGAACCCCAAGTAATAAGAGAACGTTAGCCTGAAGGGCACTTTCTGCTCTATTGCCTAAAACACAAGGGGGGGGGGAGGGGGAAGGAGAGGGAGAGGGCGAAGGCAGAGTGGGAGTGGGAGGGAAGGGGGAGGAGGAGAGGGTGAGGGAGAACCTCCTTGAACACTAATTTTAGGCAGCTTTTGGAGCTCTTAACCCCTGAATTGGCTGTACATTAACATTTGTTAAGTGGCTTAAAGCAGGGGTTTTTAACCTTATTTAAATAAGTGTACCTCTTCTGACTCAAAATTACAACTCCTGTACCCCCTTATTTTTTTTCTTGTTTTTAAGTGGCACACAACAGATTGAGGCCCCTGCAGTGAGGGAGGGAGTGGTGCTGGAGCAGGAGCTGCACAGTCGAGGTGGGTCGGTTGCAAGATAGAGCTGCCATTGGCTCATCTGGAGGGTGCAACAGGGAGAGTGGGGAGCAGCTCCCACTGCTGTGCACACCCTGGGAGAGCATGTGGACGGGGGACATGCCCCCATATCTGCATGCGGGGTGGGCTGGGACCAGGGCAGTGCCAGGCTCTTCCTGGCAGGGGGCTGGGCCAGGCTGCACTTGGGGCAGCCAGTGGCGGCACTAGAAGCAAGGCTATGGGAAGGGCTGTAGCCACCCCAGAATTTGCTGTAGCACCCACACAACCTCCCTCCCAGCACTGCTGCTGCCCAGCCCAAGTGCAGCGTGGCCCAACACCCACTGCTGGGAAGAGCCTAGCACAGCTCCGGCCCCCACCCACAGCAGCAGCCTGCACAAATATAGGGGCACATGCCCCCCCCCCCCCCCCCCCCC